GGACATGTAGGTTGTTTCCAATAATTCTCTACTGCCTTTTATTCAGCAATAACTATCTTGGTATGGCCTTTCTGTGAAACTCCACCAGGAATTTTCAGTGGAATTGGGAATTTCTAAAGGGGGAATTTATTAAACCGCAGAGTATGTACATACTCAGTTTTACCAAATACGGCCAAATTGTTTCCATAAGGGCTGTGACAATTTGTACTCCCATCAGCAATGCATGAAAATTCCTGTTTATCTACATCTAGAGCAACCCTCGATATTTTTAGATTTGTTGATTTTTGTCAGTCTGATGAATGTGAAATAGTCTTACCCTGATTGAGTTTGCTTTGCTCTGGTTAATACTGAGATGGCTAAGTGGTCACTCACATTTCCTGTTCCATGAATTACCTATTTATTTCTTTTATCAATTTTTCTATTGGGTTCTTTATCTTTTACTTAGTCATTTAATGGGACTCTTTCTCTGGAATGGATACTACACAATGCAAATATTTTCTCCCTGTTTGTCATTTATCATTCAAACTTGATTATAATGTGTTTCAGTTTACTGCATATAGCTATGTGTATCTGATTTAAGAAATATTTCCTGTAACTCTTAATATTCTCCCATATTAGCTTCTAAAAAGTTCTAAAGGTTTGTGTGTGAAGCATGAAGGGGAAAATCCAATTTAATTTCCCTTAAATTGGAGGTATTGTTTCAGTTACCTACTGCTGCGTAGCAATCTGTCCCCAAATGTAGCAGCTTAAATCATTGGACAGTTATTATCTTCTGATTCCTGGGAGCAGCTTAACTGGGTGGCCCTGGCCTAGACGGTCGCATGAGGCCATAGTCAACTTGCTATAGACTGAATGTTTCTTGTTTATGTTCCCCAGAATTCATAGGCTAAAGCTCAAATCTCCAGTATGTGAAGCAGGGCCTCCAAGTGGTTTAGACAAGATGTGAGAGTGAAGCCCTAAACATAGGTTTAGGGACCTTAGAAGAAGAAGAAAAGAGACCAGACCTCTGTGCCTTGCCATGTTAGGATACAACCAGTTAGTAAACAAGCCCTCACCAGACACTGGACGGTCTAGCACTTTGATATCTCAGACTCTTGCCTCTAGAGGTATGAGAAATGTCAGTCATTTAGGCCACACAGTCCATGGTATTTTATTTTGGGAGCACAAGTGTCCTGAGGAACATCCGAAGTCTGTAGGGTCAGGAAGGCTATAGAAAGAGGAAATGCATTTCCAAGATGGCGGCTCACATGGCTGTTGGCTAGAAGTCTCTGTTCTTCCTCACGGGGCCTCTCCACAAGGCTGCCTCAGAGGCCTTGTGATTTGGTAGCTGGCTTTTGTCAGATGAGCAATTCATGCATGACAGAAAGCAAGTGTGAGTGAGCAGGAAGCTGCAGGCCTTTTATGACATGGCTTCTAAAGTCACACACTGTCACTTCCGTTTTGTTCGAGTCATTAGAAGTGAGTCACTAAGCCTGCCCCCACTCAACGGAAGGGGAATTCCATTCCACATCTTAAAAGGAGGCATATCAAAGAACTGCAGTCCTTGAAATCCACCACAGAGCTAAAACGTCATTTGCTCCACCTTGTCTTGCTTTACTTTAAAAGTCTACGCTTACCTCAGTCTTATACAAGGACACTTCTCTTTCATCAGGTTTCCACATGAGCAGACATCTGTTTGGGGCTTTCCGTGCCCACCCATTGGTTTATTAACCCAGTTCAGCACCACGGCTGCTCTTTATAGATTTGAATGTATGAAAGGCCCCTGTATAAATCACATCTCTGGACCCGCTTTGCCTCCAGGTTACCTTGTGATTTACTCCACAGATAGCTGGAGCTAGAAGTGAAATTGTTAGTTTTGGGCCTAAACCTTAGACCTGTGAGCTTTGGTTTACAATCTCTTGGTGCTTTGAGCCACCATGAGTGGTGTAGTATCCCCTTGGTAAGACCCACAGGAAGACAGAGAATGGGGATGGAGAGGCCCTGAGATGTGCAGAGAAACGAAGAAGCCCAGCATCTCGGGGACCAGCTGAGTCCAGCCCAGAACCAGCCACCAGCATGACCTTCTCCAGGAAGAAGAGAACTGTCCTATCCTCCTGCTGTGATTGTTGAAGCTTAAGGCTTCAGAGAAGCTCACTGTGTACCAACTGATCTTTTAAACAACTCTTCCCTTATCCTCGAGTGTGTTTTTGAGAGGTACATTATGAGAGGTATGTTATGGCTTGGATATGTGATGTCTCCCAAATGTTCATTGAAGATTTGGTCCCCAAGGAAGTGATGTTCAGAGGTGGGCTTTCAACAAGTGAGTGGATCACGAGGGCTCTGATCTCATGAAGGACTAAGCGATTGATGAATCATCATGTAATGACTGTTTTGGAAGGTGGGAGACACCTAGGAAGTGTTTCCGGGTCAGAGGAAGTAGGTGGGGTGTGTGCCCTGGGAGGCCTCGCTTGCTGTCTTCCCCTCCTCCATGTTTCTGTTTCCTGGTGGCCAGGAGATGACCACTTTGCTCTGCCATGTGCTTCCTATCGTGCTGTTCTGGCTCACCCCAGGCCCAGAACCACAAAGCCAAGGGACCACGGACTAAGACCTTCTCTCCTTTAAGTTGACATTCTCAGGTATTTTGTCATAGTGCCAAAGGGCTGACTTTTATGCCTTCTATTGCACTTTTAGTTTCATCTGGAGAAAGAAATCTGAATCTGTTGTGCAAGGATTGAGAAGACTCTTCTCTTTCAACTGTTTTTTATATTTTTCCTCTAACACTGCTCAACATCATTTCCTTCTTTTAAAAAATTATTTCTTAACCTATATATTTATTTTGGCTTGGCATGTAGTAATTTTACATATTTGATGGGTACAGTGTGACATTCAGGACCTGTCTAGCAATGGTCAGATCAGGGTACCTGGCATATGTAGCTCCTCAGACATGCAGAATCAATATCTGCATGTTTTTCTTTACTACATTTTTAACAGAGTTAGTGATGGCATTAGGAATGTTCTTCAGTATTAGTTTGCATTCATATCATTGCTGAGCCCTGTAATAGTTTGCACACAGACTTCCCTGAATTTCAAGTAGACACCAACCTGCTCATCTCTTGCTTGTATTGTTTTGTGGCCTCTTTTTTTGTGCCTTACCGTAATTCACTGTGTGGACCTCCAGAACAAGGCTGGGTGGTAAGAGAGGCAATGTCCCTGATTAACCTTTAACCTTTCATCAATAGCTGCGACAAGGCTAGGTGGGGGGTTCACACCTATAACCCCAGCACTCCGGGAGGCAGAGGCAGGAGGATCACCAGTTCAAGCTCAGCTTGCGCAACTTGATGACTCAGTAAGATCCTGTCTCAGAATGAAAAATCAAACGAACTTCAGTTCAGAGGCCCTGGTTTCGATCCCCAGGACTGAAAAAAAAAAATCTATGGTAATAAAATAGGCTATTTTGAAATATCTTTGTCAAATTAAAGTTTCTGTCTCGTTAAAGCTTGCTAAGTATATTACATTCTTAATGAATGTGTTGAATTTTATTTTCTACTTGTTTTATATTTGTTGAGATACTACATTTTCCTCTAATTCTTCATATGTGAAATGAACTTGATACATTTTTTTAACACTGTGTTTTTATAGGATAAACCTCAGTGCACTGGGCTTCTTATATACATTGTGACAGTAGATTTGCTAATGTTTAATTTAGAGTTTTTGTGTTTATAAATGACATTGGCATATACTTACTATTTAAAATCTCTACTCTTGTCTATGCATATTAACCTAATGAAATGCCGTACCTTTTTCTTTTCTAATATTTAGAAGTATTTGGCTAAGATAGAAATTATGTATTCCTTAGTGTTGTGGTTAAATTTACCTAAAGTTGTCCGAAGTTGTTATCATTCTTGAGAGATATTTGACTAGTCAGTCAATTATTTTAAAAATTATTGGCATATTCACATTTGCTTTTTCCTCTTGGAATTATTGCTCATTTTATGAAGGATTTCAAAATTATAGGCAAGAATTTGCTTATAGCATTTTTGGTTATATAGACCTTTTGGCACAGGGTCTCATTATGCAGTTCAGGCTGGCCTTGAGCTCACTTTGTAGCCCAGGCTGGTTCTGAACTTGCAATGATCCTGTCTCAGCCTCCTGAGTGCTGGGATTACAGGCATGTGTCACCAAGCCTGGCAAATTTAGTTTGTAATTGACAACATTTTGGCTTCATTGATAATTTTTATCTTCTTGGCTTTCAATTCTATTATTTTTGCTTTTCTATTTATTTATCTCCTAGATCTTTCTAGGTTATTGTTTTCTCTTTATAGATTAAGCTAAATGCTAATTGTTAAATTTCAAATCTCTTTTATCATTTTAAAGAATATATTTAAACCCTAAATTTCCCCTTGGGTGCAATCTAGTTGTGCCTCATCTATCTGGTGTGGGAGCATGTGTGCCTGGCTGAGGATAGGACCCAGGTCCTCACATGTGCCATGCAAGAGCCCACCCCATCCATTTCTATATGTACGATCTGTTGTGTTTCATTCCTAAATAGTTTTCATGTTCACCGTGGTTTCCTTTTTAATCCAGAGATGACTTAGAATGGTATTAATTGTTAGATTTATGAGGTGGAAGAATCTATTTCTACTGTTGGTTTCTATTTTCAGGCTCTGTGGTGAAGGAACATGATCTCATGATGACGGGCCTTGCGAATGCCTTCTGATTTCCTTTGTGGCCTAATAGATGGTTGAGTGTGTAAATTCTCTGGACAGGCTGATAAAGAACATGCTGTTGGGGCTGGGGTGGCGCTCAGTGGCAGAGCACATGCCTGGCATGTGGAGGCCTGGGTTTAAACCCGGCACCAAAGAGACAAAAAAGGGAAAAAAGAAAAAAAGCCTGCTTATTTGCTTGGTGAAGTCCACACTAAAATGTATTGCTCTCACAGTAAACATTAAAATGGTTATTGTTTGAAAAAGAGAAAAAAGTCAGACATTGAAGGAGTATACCTAGTGGTCTCAGTTTGTTTTTTAAATTTATTTAAAAATTAATTGCTACATAATAATGATCCATATTTATGGGTACAACATGATGACATACTTTTAATTTGAATTGCAAAGGCCATGCTATTCTCTCAACTGCAAATTAAAATTTTAAATAGCATTTACTTCCTGCCAGACTGTTACAAAGGGATTCTGTGTGTGTGTATGTGTGTAACACACTCATGATTCAGGACCTAAGTATTTGTTGACCTGCCCAGAACAAGTACTGTGATGCTTCCTGTCTGTTTACACAGCAATTATATGGTCAGTCCCCGTGCGCCTTGCCAGGCCAACCAAGGCGACAGAGAGTTACACCCACCGGCATTTCTGCAGAAATTGTGTATGGCAAAGGGCCAAGGAACTCTCACGCCTGGAGAAGAAAAGTCCTGTGTGTTTCACCCAAGCTGCGGTGACCCCGAAGGCCCCGCATGTGTTTCCAGGAGCCTCTGCACAGCCAGTTTCACTTTCTGCAGGAAAATTCCTGTTCAGTCTTGATCTGGAAACATTAACTGGAAAATTCCAGAATCAATCCATAAGTGTTTTATTACAGCCTCTTGCTATAATTGTTCCCTTTTATTATTAGTTATTAACCTCCTCGATGCAATCTGAGGTTTGGGTGTCTCCTGATGGCTTGGGACATGCCCCCAGTGACACAGGAACTACTGTGCTTTGGATCTACTCTCCAAAGCCTTGACCTGGGGGACGTTGCCTCCACGGGCGACCGTGCTCCTTCAGCCTGGAGAGTAACACAGATAAGGAACCGTGGCTGTAAGTCACAGTGTCAGCTACCATTTGTGGTATTTCAGTGGACTCAGGATTAGCCAGGCCCTCTGCTTCTGGTTGAATTCACACACAGCACCCGGATGTGGGATTGGAGATGGAAGAGATTTCCAGCTATGAGACCAGAAGTGTAAGTTAATACAGTTACCTCTTTAAAATACAGGTATTGATACACACAACACAGGAACTCACTTCGTGACATTGAATTGTAGGCTGCAGTGGTTAACATGGCAATTTTTGCGCTATGTGTATTTTATTACAATGAAAAAGGCAAACACAAATACAGATGCTCCTCAGTGGCAGTGGCTCAGTACAGTGGCATTACAGAGTACACACCCACTGAGACCTGAGAATAAGGGAAAATACACATAAAGGAAGTCTGACCTACCAGACTCCAGAGCATGGCCTCGCCTCTGTTAAACGTGCTCTGAACACTCACGTCGGCCAGCAGCTGGGCAGGGTCACCTAACACAGCCTGGTTTATACTAAAGGGTTAACCGCCTCTTGTAACTTACCTATGTCCCAGAACGTTGACAGCACAGCACCCTAGGGGGTGTCAGCTGTCACCTGTCCTCATCTCGTGGCTGACCCGGGAACTGTGCTGGCTGCTTCTGTCCTGGTATCACCAAGAGAGGATCAGAACACATTTTTCTAGTTAAGGAAAATGTCCACATTCACAATTGCAGAGAAAGTTTCTGCAGAATGCTTATTGCATCATTGTAAAGTCAGAAAATCCTGAGTTGAACCAGCCTCAGCTGGGGCCCAGCTGTAGTCATAATAGTACTATGCATGCAATATGGTTTTGGCCCTTTAAACCTAACATTATGCTGTTGCATGACACTAAAAACATTTCAGTGTCTGATTTATTCATTCAAAAGGTTTTTGTTGTCGCTCAGTAAGACACCAAGTAGTGTTTTCACTACTCTCAGCATCACAGTAAATAAGTGGGCAAACCCCCTGGTCCCCAAGAGCTTACATTCAGCCAGGCAAGAACAATGATCAATGAACCAGATTCAAACATTGTGGCAAGTGCCATGGATGGAATTAAACAGGGTATTGTTAGAGAGCAACTGTGGATTTGGGAAAGACTGCTACCTTCAGAGGGGTGGGGAGGTTCAACATTGGAGTTGAACCTAGGAGGCCAAAAGTGAGTCAGTGAGAGCACCAAAGGCAGAGGGAAGAGTTCCCAGGGGGAAGAAGGGACAGCAAGTGCAAATGTCCTGAGGTAGGAGAGAACCAGGCAAGCCTAGAGGACTACGAGGATTTGTGTGACTGGAACAGAACATGGACCCAAGGAGCCCAGAGCCTCCTGGGTCCCGTCTAGAATTTTACCTGATATGGAGAGTACAAGTGGGAAAGCACTGAGGACTTGGGACAAGTCAGTGACGTGACTTTTACAGCTGTCTGGATACTTCAGGGTTGGGAGCATCTACTTCAGGAGCCCAGGCAAGGATGACGGTGGCTGAGCCTGTCCAAGGTATGTGTCTCTGCACAGCAGCAGCCTGCATAGAGCATTGCTTTTCCCCATGTGGGTGGCAGCTCGTGTGACCTCACACTCAGGGAATTAAGCGTGCTTCCCTTCCCCGGAGGGACACAGGGCCTGCTTGTGTATTTTGGGCCAGGGCGGGGGGGGGGGGAGGGCAGCACAGAGAAAAGCAGTTTCTGTGTCTGCTGAGATTCAAGGGCAGCAGGCGTGCGATTCGGAATCAGGTGCCTTAGATCAAACACTCACCTTTGTGACTTTAGGGAATTGCTTAACTTTTTAAAAAAAGTTCCTTTCCTTGTAAGCATGGGAATAATTGTGCCTCCCCGGAAGAGCCAGGAGGGACAACACATGCAGAATACTTCTCTTAGTGTCTATGTGTGGCAAGGGCTCAGTAAGTGGCTATCATGAACAACCAGAAAGCAAAGAGTTGGGGGGGGGGAGTACTTTAAAAAAATTCTACAGCTGCAAACAATTTCAGGAATAAATTTCAGTGCTGTAATCATTAGACTTGTTTGGCAGAACTGCTCTAGGATCTTTGAAAGTCACAAAAATTCCACTTTTCAAGCTGGCAAATAACTACTTCTCCAAAGGGCAAGAGTATGGCAATTCCACAGACACTGAGATTTATAAAGACACTGGGGACTTATGAATGCTTAGATAAAAATAACCCACCAGTTCTGCTTTATGTCCAAAAGAACAAAAAAACCCCAAATCTAAATAGCAAAAATTGCCTTTTATATTTCATTAAAATACTCACCTAGTTCCTAAACTCATGGAAGCCAGCAAGCTAAATTATTTGCAGTGTGCTGGGATGGTGAGTTGAAGGCTGATTTCATCATAGTTTTGGAAAATTCTGGAATACGTGCAAATGACTTCGACAATGAAAACAATTAAAATGGTCATTAAACTGGTTATTAAACTAAATGAATGTAGGAAATTGCATTGTAGTGTCATTCTAGATATGGGAATAAAACAAACACTTCTATTTTTATTTCTAAAAAGTATAGACCATCTTAAATGTTGGGGTCGCGTGGGCAATTATTTCAGGTAACATTCAACCTGAAAATCTTCACCTAGATGCAAATAAAACAGAAGAGATGGGCAGCCAAGTCATGGACTGAAGTGTGGTGGTCAGTGTCCCATCTTGATAGTGAAGCATCTGAGGTATTTAGCTGGCTCACCATTCTGAAGGTTGCAGTGCAAATCTTGGATCTCCAGGGGCCACCTCAGGTAGCAATGGCAGGGGGCCCACAGCAAACTGCTCACGTCCTGATGAGGAAGCAAATGGAGGAGGAGGAGGAGGAGTCCGGGTGCAGCAGTCCCCTTCAAGTGCCTGCTCCAGTGCCTGAGGCCTCCCACTAGACTACAGCTCCTAAAGTTTCCTCTGCCTCCCAATAATGCCACCTTCGGGACCATGCCTTTATCACGTGGCCTTAGGAACTTCGCCCTCCAAACCATCGAGGGAAGGAAACACTTAGGTGTGTTTTCATAACTGTCTTAAAAGGTCAAAATGTCAGGTGGTAGCGGATGGGACATGGAATCCAGGATTTAAAAGGTTTTTACCTCTTAAGAAGAATGTGAAGAGGGGCTGGGGATTTAGCTCAGCAGGCATAAGTGCCTGCCTTGCAAGCCCATGGTTCCATCCCTGGTACCAAAAAACCCCAAAACAAAACGGAAGAAGAATGTGAAGAAAAACACAGCCAGCCAGGCACGGAGGCACACGCCTGTAATCCCAGCTACACGGGAGGCAGAGCTAGGAGAATTGCCAGTTTAAGACCAGTAAGAGTGAGTGAGTGGGACCCTGTCTCAACATTAAAAGAAGAAACTGCCTCCTTCTTCCCTCTGGGGTGACCACAGTGGTCTTTCCATGGCACCAGCCCAAAGCCCCTCCCAGGACACCCTCCACACTGGAGGTTCAGGGGTGACGGTTCTGAAACTCTGCCAATATTTTGTTCTATGCTTTCAATCTCTCAGCAATTCCCCGCCATGTCCTAGCCACCTCCACACCGGCCCTGCCCTCCCAATCATTGCCCAGGGTGTCCCAATCATTGCCTCCCTGTCTAGAGCTCTCTTTTCCTTCTGGCCAACTTCAACCAAGATCCAGCTCACTTCTCAGGCTTCTCCTGCTTCCCAAGGCCTCCTCTGCCCCTGAGCCCACCAAAGCAGCTCCTCCTTGGACACTGATTGTGTCATAGGCCGCCTGAGGGCTGGGCCCTACCCTGCTCAGCCTGGCCTTGCCAGTGCCAGGATCATTCTTGTTCATGGCACTTGGAAAAGAGGTGTATTTTAGCTCACAGGTCTGATCCAAGTTGAAGGCCTGCATGAGGTAATGGTCTTCCTGCCCAGAATCCTAAGGTGCTGGGCATAGCAAGCCAGACACAGGTACACAGGTGTGCATTTCATGGCCTCTCCTTTTAACGAAGCCACCAGGATCTGGTCATGGGGGCTCTGTCTGGGGACCCTATCCAATCCTGATCACCTTCCAAAGACCCATCTCTCCACATCGCAGTCAGATTAGATTTCACTCTACTATCTCAAAACATGGGGGCTGGATTTCAGTGCATGAAACTGGGGTGCGCGCTTCCATCATTCCCAAGCCCTAGCATGGGCTCACACAATCCCCACAACAGCACACAACTGCTGGGAGAGTGTGCAGGCGTTCGTTCAACAGTGCACTGAATGTCTAGCAGGTGTCCTGGACCATTTTGGGTGCTGGACATTCAGACGTGAAGGAGACATGCGTACTTCTGACCTCAGAGAGTTGGTCGTGTGTCTAGGCAATGGGTGATGCACAGGTCTGTAACATAATGCACAGCAGAGATAAGGGCTACAAAGAAAAATAAAGCTGGATAAAAGCAGGAAATGCCATTCAGATGAAATGGTCCAGTAAGGCAGTCTGAGGAGGGGACATCTGAGCACAGGCCTGAGTACAGTAAGTGTGAGCCCCATGGGTGTGTGTGTGTGTGTGTGTGTGTGTGCAGGAAAGAGGGTGTCAGGCAAGGGAAAGAGCTGAGACAAGCACAAGCCCAGTCTAGGCTCATAATGTGTTACAGCACAAGGAGCAGGGTGATAATGGGAGGCACTGAGACAGAAGCCCAGGGTCACTGCAGGGAGTGCTCTTCAGGTCAGCTGAGGACGCTGGAGTAGTTTAAGTGCCGTGAGAATCCCTGGTAGCTGCTGGGACACGACCTGCCCCAGCTTCTGAAGGATCCCTCTGGCTCTTGCACAGAAAATACAGACTCTGCAGGTCAGTACTGAAGTAGGTAGCCCAGTGGGGCCAGTGGCCCAGACACTGATCATGGTGACCTGGATGCCCCCACCAGGGCAGAGAGCAACTGTCAGACTGTGTCCTTCTGCAAGCAGAGCAGGCAGGAGGCTGCTGGCCATAGAAAGAAAGCGAGAAGCAGTGGCCTTCCTGAGGTCAGGGTTTTGGCCATCTTATCTGGAGGACGGAACATTTTGGGGGATTCAGCAGGAAATGAAGCATTGTTTTAGATCTGTAAGTTTCAGTTGCTGCCCGGATTTGGTTTTGTCTTTTATGAAATGGGGATGATAATGATTACTGTTCACATTCGTAGCGAGAATCCAATGGGCTCATTCTGTTGCGGTGCTGGGTAGAAAGGTCTATTTTTGGTCGCCCTGAAGGGAGGATAGAGTTTCCTTTAAAAGAACACAAGCAAAACTCTGATACTGCTGCACGTGTGCAGCTGGCTCTCCCATCAGGTGGCGCGGCTCCATATTTACTTAGTGTTTATAACAGCATTTATATGGGGTATAGGTGCCCGCTGGCATTTATATAGAACATTTAAATTACTACATGTAATAAATGAATAATTCGTAATACAGGTTATATACATTTATACAGAGCATTTCTATAGGTGCACTAAGTATAACGCAGTTTCACAGAATCCTCGGAAGTGTGTATTGTCACCCTCATTTTGCAGATCAAACTGTGACACCAAAAGGTGCGGGAATGTATGTCCCAGGTCCCACAACCAGTGAGTCAGCCCGGAGTTCTGATCAGTCTCAGGCCACCCAGCGCCCAGTGCCCAGGCTTCCTCTGTCCAGAGGTCGGCTGCCTCCCTGCTTGGCCACTCCCAAGACTCCTTGGTCTCCGCTTGATCCATGTCCCCCAGACCCCCTCTCTCGCCCGCCAGTTGTTTTGACGCCTGCACGGATCACGATTCCCACCCGTGTTGAAGCAGCCCACGTGCCACCATGAAGTGCGTGCTAAAGGTAACAGGAACAGGACGCGACCCCTGACCTTTTAGCGACCCTGAGCCAGAAGATCGGTCTCCGAGCCTTTCTGCTTTGCGTCCCTCCTCCCGCGACCCAGTGGGTGCCAAGCCAGCATTCGATAAGCAGTCATTCATTCACGTAAAGAATGGTGATCCATCGCCTGTGACATGCCAGGCAGGCTGTGGGGACCGGCGCGGAGGTGGCGGGAGCCCGGAGAGGCGCGGAGTCCCGCGCCTGCCCCACGCACCCTTCCGTCCCGGTCAGGTGGGGCCGCTGGAATTGCAGTAAAGACCGCAAGAAGCGGCGCAGGCAGAGGCCAGAGGCGGGCGTGGCACCTGGCCAGAGCCGCGCATCTGCCTGGGAAGCCAGGAGCGAGATGCACGGGCTGCTGGCGCCTGGAGCCCCCGGCCCAGTTCCTGCCGCCAGCGCCGTGCAACCGCCTGCCCAGACTTGACTGCCAGGAAGGCGGCTGGACAGTGCGTGCGCCGCGGGAGAGGCGGCTGGGCTGGCGGTCAGCGCCTGCTGGCTTAGAAGGCAAAACTCTATTTCAGCGCTGGGACACTGGATTCCAATCCCAGGCCTGTTGCTCATTGGTGTCACCTTGGGCAAGACCTTAGTCCTTCCCTGGGTTCATCTCCACCATAGGTGAAATGGATTTTCAATAACTGAAGGGTTAACTGGCGGCTTAAAAGGGAAAATGCCTGGAAAGCTTCCCTAGCGTGGTGCGCGGCACGTAGGAAGCCCTCCCGGAGCGGAGGTTGTAATTACCCGTTGCTCACACCTGGCAGGGTCTCCTGGTCTCCCCCGAGCCAGGGCACCCGCTGATCTCTTCCAAGGGACCAGCTAGCAGCCTATTAGGGTGCGCCCGGTTTTGATAGATTTATTTGCTTGCTTGGGGCGGGGCTTGGTGCGAAGCCTGGAAAGGAGGCAGCAGTGAGGGCAGAGAAAGGGAAGACTCGGAGCGGCCGGAGGCGAGTGGGGCGGGACCGGGGAGGAGCCAGGCTGAGCCGCGGCGGGGCGCTGCGCGCACCCGGAGCCGCGGCGGGCGGGGGCGGAGCGCACGGCCAATAGTGCGCGGCGCTGCGGCGAGGGCGGTGCAGGAACCCCGGCGGCTGACAGCTAAACTCGCCAACTCCGCCCTCATCCCCGCGGGATCCCGGAGCCTTAGCCAGCCTGGGGCTGAGGCTGATCCGCGAGCGAACATGGCAGAGTGAAGAGGCTGGCGCCGGCTCGTGGTCGCCGCCGCGCGCGCTCTTGGCCGCATCCTAGTCGGTGGCTGCTGGTTTGTTTCACTGGGAGCCGAACGCGGGGGAGAAAGACAGTCCGCGCTCAGGCAGGGTTTAGAACAGCGCGTGCGGCTCGCCGGCTGCTGGAAGGACCCGGGAGAGTGGCGGTGTGCGGCAGCGGCGGCGCGCGCGGGGATGAACGGGCCATGGAGCGGCCTCGGCGGGGCGCACGGAGCCGGCTGGCGCAGCCGCGGGGGCGCTGCGTGAGCCCGAGATCCGAGCGGCTTCGGGATCTCGGGCACCCTAGGGGGGTCCCTGCAGCTGCCGCCTGGAAGGACGCGAGCCCCGCGTGGCAGACGTTGCCGCAGTCGCCGCACTGAGGCGCCCCGAGCTTGCTCCGCCTGCAGCTCGGTGCGCTCTCGGCCCGCGGGCGCCTTGCCCGGTGTTCTGCGCGGTCGACTGCGGGAAGACGGGTGCGGAGCCGATTGGAGAGGTGTGTGCGCGCCTAGGCGCCTGGAGACCCGGACCGAAGCAGGACCCGGCCACCCTGAGCAGCCATGCTTCCCGGGGTGGGCGTGTTCGGCACCAGCCTCACAGCCCGTGTCATCATCCCGCTGCTGAAAGACGAGGGCTTCGCGGTGAAGGCGCTGTGGGGCCGCACGCAGGAAGAAGCGGAGGAGCTAGCCAAGGAGATGAGCGTCCCCTTCTACACTAGCCGCATCGACGAGGTGCTGTTGCATCAGGACGTGGACTTGGTCTGCATCAACCTGCCGCCTCCCCTCACCAGGCAGATCGCTGTCAAAACCCTGGGTGAGTGACTCCCACTCTCCTGCCCCTCTCCAAGCTTCTGTCTCCGCTGCCTTTCTCTTGCACTCTCCACGCCCCCAGAAGCTTACACTGCATTTGCCCTGCCCCGGGGGGTGTGAGATGCTATGTCCCAATCTGAGTCCCCCCTTCCGTAGTCCTGGCCTCCTGCATCCGCCCTTCTCCTGGCTCTACCTGGACGCACGCACTCACGTGTATGGCGCGGAGGCAGGAGGAGGCGTGGAGCCCGGGATGCGCTTGAGAAGGAAGAGAGCTAGCTCCTGGGAGAGAAGAAACAGTCTCCAGCGTTGTGTGTAGCGCTGAGTGTGTTCGTGCGTGTGCACCTGGGAGAGGCGAGCGCCAGGTCAGAAACGCCTGAATCAGGGGCCACACACGTGTTTTGGGTTTTCTTGGGGCGAGAGAATACAGTACCTAATTTTCCGCAGCTGGGGCTCTATGCTTGGGTCGTTTGTTTGCCCCCCGGGAATTTTCTGTGAGATAACAGATGTGACAATGGGGTAAAATTATTTCATCTGTGCTAGACCCAAGGATGTGGGGAGTGGTTGGATGGAAGGGGTGTCAGATTATTTTCAGAGGTGTTATAGGTCAGTAAAGATTAGTTTGATAAAGCCAGAGGAATTTAACTTTTGAGTGCAGCTTCCCTCAAATTATCTTCTGCACCGATTTGAAATTGTAGATCTTACATTTTTAGGGCACAGGCACTGTAGTTCCAGAGGTGTGGGTGTTTTGTGCTGGAAAAGGCCGAACTCTGCCAGTTTCTTTTGGAAGCATAGGATGGTCCTTCTTTAATTCCCTGCAGGCATCGTTCTGAGGGATGGTGGTGACCAGCAGACTTGGGTTGAGTTTGCTGACTCCACGATCCTGTCCACACCCTCGATCCAGGTATCTGGAGTCTTTGGGCTCAGGGAGCAGCATCTTCTAGCAGGGCTCAAGGGAGAGAGAGGTGCTTGTTTTGTCCATTATTGTTCTCCTGTGTACTTAAAGCAATCTCAGGGAGACTACTGGCTCCTTTCTGCACCAGGACATTTACTGTAATCACCTCTGAAAGTTGGAGTTTTTATTGGTGAAGAAAGAGACAAAGCGTCTAACAAGGTCGACTGAAATGTCTGGTAGGGTTCATCAGGGGACTGCGCAGGTTGTCGGGGCTTTAACTTGCATTAAGCTTCTGGCCTTTGTAGCTTGGTTGCTGTGGCCTTAAGTTGAATGCCATTGCATTTTGGAGAATGTTTCTTTTCATTTTAGTGGAATATTTATGTTGGGTGGCTAACCAACTCCCTCATTCACACAGAACCTGTGGATATCAAATAGATTACAAGCAAGCCATCATATAAATACGTTACGGCAGTGAGTATAAAACTGGTTGCCCTGAGCCCGGACTGGGCATATCAGAAGGGCCTTGTTGGAGCACCACCTCCCTACTTGATGGCACAGCCATGGGGACAGATCCTAGAGCAGGGGAGTGGCAGTATGGGGAACTTGTTCTTGTGTTCTGCCTCCAGCCCTTTGGCCATGAAAGTTCTTGGGGGATCTTGCTTCCTAGATTAGTTCCCCTGGTCTACATTAGTTCCCCTGGTCTTGTTTGCAGATCTCCCTGAGCAGGCAGTCGGTGTAATTCAGGGCTGCCAGCTTGTCTAGCATGCTCAGGGCCTTGGATTTGATCCCAGCACCATGGGCAATGTGACTTACTGGTTCAGAATCAAGTGGAAGAAGTGTTAGAGACTTAGTCGAATAAGTATGACTAAGGAGTCTGGAGAAGTACTCTGTGGTAAAGCATTTGCCTCGCATGGGCAAGAACCTGGATTCATTCATCCTAGGGGAAAAAAAGGTGGGGCGGGGAGAAGTATGACTAAGGAATGGGGTTTCATTCATATTTTCATGGTAGGGTTGGCCTCCTTTTCTTTAAGCCCTCTTTTTGTAATTCAAAGTAGTGAGGCAGTTTATGATTTCAGAAAACATGGAAGCATTAGACCTCCGTTAGATGTGGTGCGGTATTTATTCTTGCCCTCATCTTCAGCTTCCATGGAAAGACCCCCAGATGGGGTTGTGTCGTGGATGGTGCCGCAGTGGGGCGATCATCTTGGTTGGCTTCACAGTCATGGTTAGAGGCTCAAAGCGCACAACACAGGAAGTGAAGAACTCAAACAGTTATCAGAGTGACCTAGCCACTGAGGATTTGTAGATATTGGTGTTTGGCTGGAATGGAAACCAGCGACCTTTAACTAGTCCTGGTGAATTGTCATTCTCTAGGTAAATGCCTGGGCTTTGAGTTGATCACTCAAGGAAGGAGCTAGATCTGTGGTCTTCCATCTTTATCTGAAACTGGCCTCAGGCTCGTAGAGGGAGGGTCCTTGTTGATGGGATCATAAAGAATGAGACTTGGAGTCAATTGAATCACACACATCTTTCTTGAAGTTCTGTAAAACTCCCTTGAAGTAGCTACCTCAGTGGCCCTGGACTTCTACGGTGTGCAGTCTGTATGCTCCATCCAAAGCTACCTCTCAGCACATACTGTGTGCCAGGAACCATGTGGTAGGTGCTTTATAAATCATTTCATGATTAAAATAATCCTTTAAGATGGATATCAACCCCATTTTACAGACGGGGCAACTGAGGTTTGGAGACCTGTGTTGATTTGCCCCCATGCAGCTAAAATTTGCCCTGTGGAGCTGCTTCTCGTAGGCCCTAAACTTGCTGCTTCACTGCAGGTCTTCTGCCGGGTACCAGCAGCCCAAGGGTCATCGCTGGAGATGTCCTTTGTACCCCAACCATGGACTGACTCAGTTCTCACTCAGGCTTGGTGCTGTCTCCTGAGTCCCTGTGTATCTGTTCCCCTCTCTGCGACACCACTTCCCTCACAGAAGCCTCCATCCTTGCCTGGTTTCTGAATGAGCCTCCAGGCAGTCCCCACCCACCTTCTGCCCTGCTGCTGCTCACGTCGAAGTGCAGACCTGGCTCTGTCCTTGTTTCCCCTTTCATGAGCGCTGTCACTTCCGGGAAAAGCCTGATTCATGGCACAAGGGGCTTCAGCTGAGATGCCACTTGTCCTGGAAGGGATCCTGTTGGTGTCTATGTCTGCACCTCTGTCAGGGACACGTTTGTCCCCTGGGGTTGTGATTCAGGGAAGTGCTATTAGTTCTCGAAGAATCCGTCCTTCCACCGCCTGTGCCCTGGCTTCTGGGTTTGCAGTACCAAGTGCCTGTGTCCTCCCAGCACTTATTTGAATGAATTTGTTTAAATTTTACTTACTTATTTTGAATAGACGATATTGTCCCACGGTACAGCTTTCAAATGCTATAAAAAGTAAACTGTGAAGAGTAAATGTCTCCTGGTCCCTGTAATCCAACAGAGGCAATCAACGTTATCTTGTTTATTTGTTTAAAGTTTCCTATACAAATTTTTTTCTAGGTATACACTGAACGTTTAAACCTTTTTTATACAAGTAAGATCCCATTCACACTGTTGTATACTTTGCTTTTCTCATGCAACAATGTTTTCTTGAAAATTTAAACATACTAATAATACCTTTTAAATTACTTGATATAATATAAAACTCAGATGCCATATATATGTGTATACATGGACCCACACATACATGTATATGTATTTTTTACATGTACATCGGTCCTCTATCTCTCTGGTTTCACATCTATGTCATCTATGAGTCACTAACAGTTAAAAGATTATATCTCCACTGAACATGTACAGACTTTTTACTTGTCATTGCCTAAACAATGCTCTGGACAACTATGTACATAGTATTTGCATTCTAAGTAATTTAGAGATTAAAGTATATGGGAGGATTTTGCATAGGTTGCAAACATGATGCCATTTTATATGAGACTTCAATATCTATGAATTTTGGTATCCATGGGAGTGCTGGAACTAACCTGCAGACACTAAATCCGTGTATACACAGACACAGGTGTGTATATTATATATGTGTAGCATATAGCTCAGAGTGGAATAGTATCCCGTTGTATTAAGATTTAAGCAGTTCCCTGTTAGCAGCATTCAGCTCATTTCCCATCTTTTGCTTATACAACTGTGTGCACTCTTGAGCATACAATGTCATTTTGTGCACATCGTGGGCTATTTGTAGGATAACTGTGAACTGAGAACAGGGAGGATGTGCTTATTTCTTTTACCTGTACCTGCCATGACATTGCATTTTGTCACTTTCCCCTTACACCCCTTCCCTAAGGCCTTGACTGCCAGGTGCCTGAAGGTAGATAACATGGCCTTGTTCACCTTGGTGTCAGAGCAGCTCAGAGCTCAGGGCCCACACCAGCCTTTGGGGGCAGAGTTGTGTTAATGATTTGTCCTTATGCAATGATCCATTATACCTAGACCAGTGCACTACGCCAGCCTGCTGCCTACCTAGTCCAGTCTTTGCTTATCTTATCAGTTCTCTATCCAGCAGAAAGTGAGTGTGTAAAGACACACATTAGCCATGCATTTGCATGCACACATACACAGGAGCCTCTCTGCTCTTGGCAATTCTGTGGCATTTGGAGTAAGATCCAGGCTCCTTACCATGATCTAGTTAGCCTGGAATGGTTCCACCTCACCTTCTGCATCTTTGGCAACTGCACCTTTTCTAGGACTTACTACCCTTGAACCAGTGCGGGGGGGGGTCCTCTCTCTATTTCTGCAGTCCACTGTCCACCTTCCGGACTCCAGGCCTTTCTACTGCTCTTGCTCTGACCTAAGAGGTTCTCCTCTTCTTTGAATGGCCAGCTCTTTCTCACTTTTGAATTGTAGCTTAAATAGAATAAGGGGGAGAAGCTTTTCTGGAACCTCTCCTTCCCATCAAAAGTCTCTTCTGTGTCTCCCGTCATGCCTCTGTCATTCTTTTTGTCTTCCATGTGATGCTTGTCAGTCTGTGATGATCTCTTTCACTTGCATAATTGTCTTCTTGGTTGCTGTTTGTCTCTGGCTGGAAGGGAGAGCCCTTGTTTGTTCTGCTTGCAGACAAGGGGAGCTGCACAGATGTGGGAAGCCTTATCTCCCCTAGACAGTGCCACCACCTAGTCTCCTAGTGGACATACTCTGCGTATCTGTTGAATGATGAACAAATGCACGCTGCTTTTCCTTCGTGTGAGTGTTTATCTGTGGAAGATAGAGTCATCAGCAGTTTGTGTCCATGAGCACATATTTCTGTGTTGTATTCACCGGCCGGCTGGCTTTCCAACTTTGACATGCAGTTACGTCACCTGGATCTCTCTTCAAAATGCAGACTACAGGGTGGGGCCCAAGATTGGGTGTTTCTAGCCAGCTGTGGGCCACTGCTGATGCTGGCACAGCCAGACACTCGAGGTGAGATGCCCGCTGCCTTTGAGAACAGAGGGTGTCTCTTGTCGGGGCAACTGTGTCAAAGTACCTGCTGTTCTGCATGGAACGTCAGGCATGTTTTCTTGACCTCTGTCCTGGTTTTGGAGGCTGTTCTTATTGTCCTGGTGAAGAATCCCTGTGGGAACAGAAGGTTCGCCGAGGGCCATGAGGCCTGGAGGCTTTTGTGAGGCTCAGAGCGCCTTGCCGTGCGCTGATGGAGTCCCAATTTGTTTCCTGTCACTAGCTGAGGTCCTGCCTGCAGTTGCTCCCCTTTCCTGTCCTGTGCCCCAGCCACAGCAGTTGCGTAACTGTGAGGGCTGCGGGGACAGAGGTGAGAGCGAGGAGACCATTGTGCCACCCCAGCTGAGATCTCGCTCCCGATAACAAGGCTGGACGTGAACCTGATAGCGCCCATTCTGAAACCCTGACACACCTCACATTTCCAGTTCTTCCTTGAGGTTTCTTTTGGATTTTTTCTTATCTTAAATTAACATGGTGCGAACACGGTGATTGTATTTTTCCAACTGGGTTCCTGCCTCCACTGCACTGCCAGAAATGGTTTTGTCCTAGCAACTGGTATAGAGTGGAGAAAGCCCTCAGGCACTGTGTAAATGAGAGAAATTACTCTATTTACTGTTAGGAAAAGTCAAGCTTCACCAGTCTCATTTCATCTAACTGAAATTAGGTGCGGGCGAGTGATTATTCTGTGGATGATATCTGGCTTTGCAAATGGACCATTCTGCAGAAGTTTAAATTGGAGCAAGATGAAGCTAAATGAAGAAGTGGATTACTTTGATATCTAAAACTGAGGCAGGATGACAGCCCCAAAAAAGAAAAAAGTGGAAGTAAATAGTGTGTCGTAAAGGTTTCACTGGGAAAGGTAAAATGTCTGCTTGTTACATGTTTTGATTCAGGGCAATCATGCCCCACCTAAGAGCATCATCAGATAGTGTGCTTCCCAGAACCAGCTAGTGATGGGAAAGGTTGGCAGGTTACTAACTTTTGTGGCTTGGGAGAGCTTCCTCTCCTTCCCAGCCTTCAGTTTTCTCGCCAATAAAATGGAACCAAGGACATTGTCATATCCATTAAAATGACCATTAAAATGAGAGGTGGCTTGTAAAGACTTAGCCTGTCTCCCCTTGCTTGGCCACATCAGCTCCATAAATGTTCGATTTTACTTTTTCACAGCGTGATCAATTCTCTAGCTTTTGAGGGTTTTTTTTCTTCCCATATTTTCTGTCAAGTTCAGAGAATACAGTTAAAAGTCCTCTTATTTTTAAAAAGGAGCAGGCCTAAGCCAAGCTTCAGATCTTGTATTTCCTGCAAATCCGGTGCAGTTGGTTCTCTGTACCTGTGGGTTCCACACGCTCGGACTCACCCAACATGTTTAAAGGAAGAAAGAACATCTGTATTGAACATATACAAGTGCTTTTCTTATTGTAACCTGAATAATGCAGAAATATTTACATAGTGTTTATATTAATGTAAATAATCTACAGATGATTGAAACTAGTCTACATTAGAATATGCACATGTTACTATATGGTTCTAAAGGACTTGAGCCTCTGAGGATTCTGGTACCCTTGAGGATCCTGGAACCAATCGGTGGTAGATACCCAGGGACCCCAGTCATGTGATCAGTTCTCAGCTATGTGATCAGTGGGAGGCATCCAGAGTGATGCCAAGCACTGAACATGTTCCTGAGAACATTTATCATCATCTGCGAGAAGGATGCGTTTCATAATCATGGACTCCAGGAGCAGGAATGCAACCAGGCTTGGGTATCTGGACCATGAGCTCCTGGAGTTTCACTCTGCTGCTCTGTGTGTCAGCCCCGTCATCCATGCGTCTTCACACCAGCCTCTTCCGCTTCACAGGCAAATGTGGCAGACAAAAAGCTGTCCCCAGGCGGCTCCCAGATACATGGAGTGGTACAGGGTTAGCTGTCTGGAGAGCGCAGCCTCTCCCTCCAGTTGTCCCTGCCTGTGTCCCCTTACCTAGCCCTGTCTTTTTTTCACAGCATAGGGGACAGGTCCATAATGCTTCCAGGACCACTCAGGGATGGAGGGATTGAGTGCTGTCATTTGGAACTGAATTCTCTCCTGTGCAGACTTGGGTGATGTTTTTTTGTCTTTTTATCGGTACCAGGGATCAAACTAGTGACTGCCTGCTTACAAGGTAAGGCGCTTATACTGCTGAGCTAAATCCCCAGCCCCTTGGATGACGTTTTTGTAGATGCAGACATTTCTTGATTATGTCAACTATTTTTCTACTTTACGAAATACACATTTGGTGTTTCTCAGCTTTCATAATGACCACAGTAAAACAGGGGCAAGAAATAATGCATGTGATAATCCAGTGACATCAGCCTTGTTATTCTTAAGTATAAGATGTATATATTTTAAAAGTACAGGAGTCCCCCTTGTGTGTGGGAGACATGTTCTAGAACTCCTGGGGGATGCTGGAAACCGTGATGGTACCGGCCCATGTGTATATATTGTTTTTCCTATACATATAGATGATATAGTTCAATTCATAAATTAGGCACAAGAAAAGATTGACAATAACCTGTTAGTTACGATAATAAATATAATAGAGCAGTTGTAGACTATAATAGTCATGTGAAGGTGTCTTCTTAGATCTGCGATGGTACAGCACGTATCTTCTGTGACGAAGTGAAGTCAGGTGAACGGTACGGGCCCAGCTTATGGGCTACTGTCTGTAGTGGTAAAGTGGGTAAACGTGCCTGCTGCATGGAGTTTCATGGTCATTTTTTGGTCCTTAAGCCTTTACAGAGAGGCCTGTGTGGTGTGAGTAAGCAGCCCCAAGAGGAAGCTTGGGTCTTCTTTGCTCCCAGGTTAGTGTAGGTCTTTGAAGGAATCTGGAATCAGGACAAACACTGAGGTCCCTTTGGAGGAGGGGTTTTTGCCTTCTGAGCATTTTTGTGTGGTGACTGCATGCTGTCCTCCAGCCTGCCAGCCCTCCCTGCAGAGTTTGTGCTTGTCCACACCTCCAGCTACAGGAGCTGATTCCTTAAAATAAATCTCTAGTCAGCCCCCAACATAAGATATTCAGCTTAACAATTTCACAACTTCACTGTGGTGTGAAAGAGATAGGCATTCAGTGGTATCTGCATTTGGAATTTTAAACTTGGATCTTCTCCCAGGATCGTGATATTTGATCCACCTCTCTCAGTGCTGGGCGGGCATCGCAGCTCCTGGTCAGTTCTGGGATCTAGAGGGGTGACATCCGACCTCCACAGTGTGCTGTGTCGCTGGGCCTTGGAAGTCGGGTAGATGAAGAGTCTGTGCATCTTCTGCTGCTGTCTTCAGTGTGGGATGGGTTTGTGGAGGTGTAACCCCGTCCTTAGTGCAGGGGCATTTGTACGGAAGCACACATATCCTGTTGGTTCTGTTTCTCCAGACTGTGGCTGGATCAAGGCCACCTGGTTAGAGCAGGGTGACAAATCTTCTCAAAGTCATGTTCTGCAGCTGTAGGTCTGGAAAAACTTGTCCATGGAAAAGCTGCTGCTGTGGGTGTGGGTCCCCAGAGATCTGTGAGCCTCTGAGCTGTGTCTTCAAGGGTGGGGGGACCGTGGAGGCAAAAGTTCTGTTTGGTTCAATCTCTGGCCAAGTGTTGGGGAAATAGCTCTGGCCCTTCCTGTGGGGAACAGGACCTCTAAGGTGAGTCCCAAGATGCCTTGTGGCTTAGACTTCCCTTGAAAATTCTCGGTACTCTACTGGAGAGTATTTGAAAATGCAGAAAAATAACTTTGCATGAATACCATACAATTTTTTAAAAATTTCCAGTTTCTAATTGCAGTAGCACTTTGGGCTATTCTATCATTCTTTTCATTAACAAAATATCCATCAACGGAACCAAGTTTCAAGTCCCCAAATGAAGTTGGTTTGCAGCTTTTACAGTGCTCTAGGGGGAAAAAAAAGCGCAGATCTGCTTTCTCGCTCTTTGTCTTTTTGATACGGGGTACTTTCTCTACTTGACTTTTCCACAAAGTTTCATATAAATGAAACCATGTAACATGTAATCTTTCGTGTCTGAGTTCTTTCACGTGGCATAATGTTTTTGATGTTTATTCTTGTTGCGTATCAGAAGTTCATGTCTTTTTAATGACAATAATAGTCCATTGTACATATGGACAGAACACATTTTGGATATGCATTCACCATCTGACAAGCATTGTTATCTCATTATATTTTTTTTAGCCATTATGAGTAATGCTGCTCATAATATAAGTCTTTTCTAGATCTACATTTTCTTTCCTCTTGGTTACAGACCCAGGACTGAAAGTATTGTGTTTTACAGAATGTATATATTTAACATTAAAGAAACTGCCAGAGAGTTTTCCAAAGTGGCTGCATGTTCTTATCTTCCTGCCAGCAGTGTGGGACAGTTCTCGTTTCTGTACATTGTCACCGATACTTAGTGTTGTCAGTCTTTTGATAAAGGCCACATTAGCTGGTATTTTGCAGTATCTCGTTTTGAATCTGATTTATATTTTCCTAATGCCTGATGGTGTTGGGCATCTTTTCCTGGGTTGATTATTCAGTTATGCATCTTCTCTGTTAAAATGTCCATTCAAATCCCTTCTCCATTTTTAAATAGGGTTATTGTCTTGCTGCTGTGTTGTAAACATTGCATTTGTGACTTTTAAAATTGTGTTGAGGTAGCAGCTTCTGTTGGGGAAAGATACAGCTTTTCCTTCTTTTTACTTTTGAAACTAATGCAGTGATATTCTTCAACCTAGTTAACAGGGGCTTTTCTAAACCCTTGTGGAAGTGGCTCATTATGTAGATGACAGAGACAGTCACTTAAAGATGCTGATGCCTGGGGCTGTGATATAGACCTTGGCTCTGATAATGTCCCAACACTGTGCCAAGGACATTTTCAATTGACAGATTATTGGTGGTGCTCCTAAGTTGTCTTATACTCTATTTTGCTCAGTATCTGGGGAGTTTTCTCTGTTTCCCATTTATTTTTGAGTGCCTCTAGCACTGTGTGGGCTGTGGCTAGAAATACCCCATGTAATGTGCTTGCTCTTTGTCTTGGAGGGAAGATGCACACAGGCAAACCTGACCAGGTGATGAGGAGTGTGATTAAGGGCAGTGAATGGGTACCCTGGGCACCCTGCAGTGCCAGAAAGGGCTTGCTTAAGGCATGGAGAAAACCCCCCAAATCATTAGTAGATTAAGGGTCCATACCCTGGTGGCTTCCTAGTGCCAGGCCACAAATGGCAGCAAAGCAAAGTTGGGGAAAATGGGAGGGGGATGTTTTCATAACCTATCCCTCATATACAGTAGCTTGTGTATGAATAGGAAATGTAAATCTAGGCAGGTCCTGGTAAGGGCTTCCTCTAAGAGCTGATGAATTATTGCTTCCGGGTCACTGCTGAATTGAAGTAAGGAGCTGGAGTTTGAGGTTAGAGATACACTGTGCACGGCTGATGAGGAAAGGCTATGCAGTCCCCAGTGCCCTCCCCCCAGGCAGCTGTGTCCTTCAGGAGGTGACCCTGTGGGATTGGAGGCTGCCTGCAGGCTTAGGAAGAGAAGTTCCTGAGAGCGGGAATGTCTTGGGAGACCTTTAGCAGGAGCTGGGGCTTCCACTGGGGCAAGATGAAGGGAGAGGATTTAAACACTGAGAAATCATGGTGTAGAAGGTTCTGTGATGTAGAGTCACCTTCAAGGAACCACCTCGATCTGCAGAAGCCTCCTGCGATGTGTTTCCCACTGTTGATCGCCTAGGACAAAGTTACAGTGGTTTCAACATGTCCTGAATTCTCAATAGTTCATTACATAGTACAAGATCCCGAGCAGAGATCCCAACACTTTGAGATTCCCAGCACTTTGCATGGATACTATTTGAGGCAAAGGAAATGCTAGTGCCTTGCTTTGATTACACAGGTGCAGGATTATTGTGCTTAGTTCATAAATAAATGTTGTATGTCACTTACAAGAAAAATGTCCAACATTTAGAAAAAAGTAGTAAGTAGTCAAGGCCACTTGTATTGTTCTTGTCCTCCAGTTTGCAGATGGTGACAATAGTGATGACAGCTTTGGGGTCGGCAAGGGAAATAGCGGGCAGAGGCCTTGGAAAGAGCCTGGTTGAGAGGCTTCCAGATGCTGGCCCTATAGAGAACTGATAGAGCTGCACAGTTCGATTCAAGCTGAACTTCTGGAGAGACAAAGCTCTGTGTGCAGTGGAGTTGGTCGTGCTGTGTCCAGGATGCAAGAGGACCTTGGCTGTGGCCATGTTTATGGGCCGCTGGGGACAGCTTGTGTCCCCTCGGTATACAGTGGAGCCCTGCGGTCATTTGAATGTGCTGGAACTCTGGAATTGAAATGAATCCCCACTATGAGATAGTAAGAGTTGGGACCAGGTGGGACCTTTCAGAGATGATGAGGGTTTTCCCTTTAGAAGGGGATTAATCCATTTGTGTGATTAATGGATTCATGAGTTAATGGGTATTCTGAAGAGGGGGTCTGCTATAGAAGCCAATTTGGTAGCTCTCTTGTGCAATCCCTGTCTTGGGCTACGTCCCCTTGTGAAAAAGGCCGTCACTAGACTCAGCCCCTGAGCCTTGGATCAGAACTGTGAACCAGAATGTGCGTGTTGTCTTTGTAACTTGCCCTGTCTGTAGAACTGTGACATGAGCAACAGGAAATGGCCTAAGACAGGCTCCGTGTGGGGGAGAATCAGTGCAGAACTGCGGTCACGGTGTGGTAGGTGAGTACGGATGCCGTGTGGGATGGAGGTGGTTTTAGGAAGCAACCTCCAAGGTGAAGTGAATAGTATTAACTTGTGCTGTAGGATCCAGAAATCAGTCGACAGAGCCTTTGGAGGTTACTACTCTGGCTGGCTAGGCTTTTAAAGGATTCCCAGACAGACAAGTTGTAGATCTCCATTACTATTTTTTTCTTTTTTTGAGATAGGGTCTTGCTATGTAGCCCGGGCTGGCCTTAAACTCACTGTGTAGCCTAGCCTGGTCTCAAACTCAAAGCAATCCTCCAGCCTCTGCCTCCTGAGTATAGAGATTACAGGTGTGCACTGCCATACCTGACCTCTCTGTCACTGTTTCCAAAAGGAGAATTCCTTGTTGAATTTGGTGTCATTTTGTTGAAAGTGGTGATACACCCCAATATTTTCATCAGTGAGCAAAGCAACCAGTTTTCAGAGGTTGACTTCCCAGAATTAACAAGTCCCGAGACAGTGCAGTGATGGGTGTGTGGGAATCACACAGCCTGGATGGATGCTGGCCTTGCTATGCACTTTATAGCTGTGATTATGTTATTTTTCTGAGCCTCAGTTACTTTATCTGTAAACAAGAATATTTGAATTACCCAGTTCTGAAGGTTGTTGACCTAAATAGGGTTTTGTTTAAAATGAGTGCTCAATAAACACGAGAATCCTACTTAGCGATAACGTACTGTGATGAGCTACTTTCCACTCATTCTTTCTTGAAGAAGCATTTTTGGAGCATTGGCTACATATTGGACAATATCTGGGTCTGTGCTAGGCAGTGTAGTAGCCACATGTGGCTCTATTTCCATAAATTAAAATGATACAGATGATTAATGCTTTTCCTCGGTTGTCCTAGCCACATTTTAAGTGCTGGAAGGCGACATGTGGCTGGCTGTGTCTGCCATATTGGAGTATGCAACACTGAACATTTTCATCATTTGCAGAAAGTTGTCGGACACCTCTGATCCCAAGGCCAGGGCTATCTCTGAGCAAGACAGTCATTTGTGCTTGATCTAAACATGGAGTTTTGAGAAATCCAAACTTGGATGGGTTTAATTTTCTCCAAGGACTGACATGAGTACTGGTGGCTCAGAACTAATTAGTAGAGGTCTCACAAGGTCTGGGCACAGCCTTCTCGATTCATTTGTAAGCACTCTATTATTAATAAGGAGGAGATGTGCTGGGGAAAGTTTCCTAAATTATCCATGAGATTTGGGGATGGAGAACTGGATAAATGAGGCTCCCCTCTCACCACCCCACCTTCTTGTAGTTTAATCCCAGGACTTTGGGTGATTGTTGGCACAGATCAGAGTAGAATGGTACCCTGGAAAGAGCTCAGCTTTAACCCCTCAGCAGGTACCCTGGAAAGAACTCAGCTTTACCCCCTCAGCAGTCCACTGAGGGACTGGCCTTTTTGGTCAGTGTAGAGCAGAAAAACAAAGGGACTTAACAGAACACGCAGGAGGACAGTGAGCAGATGTGACTTAGACACCAGGTCTCTCAATCCTGCAAGAACGTCCAAGAACACTTAGCAGCCAATTCCTGACTACCTGGTGGAGGGGAAGAATTCTGAGTTCACGGCAAGGTGGCTGTGATAGTTTGGGTCAACAATGTACTCAAAAGGCTCACATTCAGAGGTGGGGTTTGGGGAAGGTGATTGGATGATGGGGAAATAAACTCATCAATGCATTAACCCATTGATGCGCTCTTGGCTGAATGGGCTCTTATTGGAAAAGTAGATACTTCCTGTTTCCTTTTGAAGACTGTCTTTTCCATAGTCTCTTCCTTTCACTGGGGCTCTTCTCCTGCTTCCGCTTCCTGGCTACCATCTGCCAAATACTTTTCCTCCCCCACACTCTTCTGCTGTGATGTTTCTGCCTTGCAACTACCCGACCATGGACTAGAACCTCTGAAGCTGTGGGAAAGCTAGCAAATACAGTGGCTTTCTGCTCTGCTGTCGCATACTGTGTGACTTTGGATAAGCAGGAGTTCTGCCTGTATTCCTCTTCTCTCCATTTTCCCCATCCTTCCCTTTGTTTGAAGGGAAAGGCTTGATAAATACTGGAGCATACAGCCTCAACTAATACGTAATTACTATTTTGCTAATTATTATTGCATTTTCCCCTCCCTTTGAGTCCCATTAACGTTGTGAAAGCAAGATCCATTTGTGTGAGCATTCCTTAGGGAGCTGCTGCGTTCCAGCTTGCAAGAGCTGGGAGGAAGAGGTAAGGCTGTGAGCACATGCATGCCCCAGTCAGTGTGCTTCTGCCCGGCAGGCGACTCTTGAGTGCAGTCAAGGGCAAAGTAACGATTTTAGATGACTTGTTATTTAAATGTGTCCCTGGAAGCTCTGCTGTCTCTTCCATGAATATGAATAATCAAAGTGGATGGTGGAAAATGAGATTTGTTCTTCTCCCCTGTCTCTTTCTCCTTTCCAAAGGAGCAGGGATAGGAGGAGGAAAACTCAGCAAGTATAAAAATATAGGGGGAAATGCCATGTGGTTTTGTTTGTATGAGCTTCTTCTCCCTCCAGCACTGCCCACAGGGACCTTTGTTTATACCTCTGGGATGCTTGCTCTCACAGAGTCCTGAGGGACAGGTTTGGAGCCCTGGGGGATGTGGCCTGTCTGATTTAATATGCACAGCTGTTCACAACAGGGCACGCAGGCAGCCTGCTGTTTCTCCGGGAGGCCTGTGGGTACCACACTGCTACATCTGTGGGGTGAGATTTAGCGGCTCGCTCTTGCATGGACGCAGCTGCCTCTACCCACAGCTTGTGGGTGTGGGGATTCCAGGAGCCTCCCCAGTGGACTCTGGCTCTTCCTCTTTGCACCCCCTAGTCCCAGGCATGCTTATGCCGACAGATTCGCTGTCACATTCAGGGACCAGGGAAGCCAGGGGGACTGCACCAGGTACGTCCTTTGACAGGATTTCTCAGCGTGGGTGCTTCCCAGGCTTCACACTGCTGCAACTTTTGTATCCCCACCCGTTTACCGAGGGCCTTCAGGTGGAAGGCATCATTCTAGGTCATGGGAGGCGGAAGAAGTGAAGAATGTGGGATGCAGTATCTGCTCTGAAGGAGCTTAGCATCCAGCCGGAATTCACCTCTCATTTTTGAAGAAAGGAGCATTAACATGTTACAGAGCTCATCTGGAGCAGCAGGCGTGGAGTCCAGCGTGGTACAAGTGTGACACCACATAGCCAATCTCTCAGGTAGGCATTTAGCATCTCCCTTTTACAAGTGAGGAATCCAACTGGAGGGAGGTTAAAGATCTCACACTGTGGATTCTAAGACACGCATCTTTGGCATCTAAACATCTAAAATATGGATGGGTCTTAAGAGACTTTTCTGTTTTGGGAAAAAGCAAAATAATTGTAGATCTTTGTGACTGTGACTGGGGTTCTTTCTGTGAAAGCTGATTTTCTCTAGGTTCATTCAGCTTGGGAATTTGACTCAGGTTTGCCTGAGCTAAGTATGTGCATTTTCCGGCTCAATATGCTGCAGAAGCAGTGGTCTGTTCTGGCAAAGCCCACAGAATTCTCACTGGCAGAGCATAGAATGGGGGACAGCAGACTGTGCTGGGGCTCTCACCATGTAAGTTGAGTGACTGAGGAGAGAATAGTAGTCAGGGTTGCTTGCATCAGTCAGGGTGTTGAAAAATTGGGAAAAGGAATTATGTAATGATCTTTTTATTCTCTGCTGATTATAACTTTTTATTTTGAAGGAGCCAAAATAAATGTTCACCTGTAGTATGGATAAGGCAGAAAAGAGGAGTGTGGTGTGGTCCTCCATTTGTACTGGTGTGTTCTGGGGGTTCATTGGGATGTGACACATGGCTGCTTTGCTGTCATGGGGGTGGCGTGATAAGACACACAACACAGGCCACTCTGTCCCTCTCTTGACTGAGTTCTGAGAAGTCCCTAAGTGTAGGCCTGCGTGTGTTGATTATTACCACAGTGCCCTGTGGCCAACACTGGCAGACAAGGAGCTGGGTCTGTTGAATTCCACTGCTGACTTGCATTCCGAGAGCAGTGTTAAGGGTGCCATCGGAGGAGGAGCTGCCGATTCCACTGCTGGCTCCATCTGCATGGTCCTTCGTGCTGAAGTTAACGTGGTCCCATGATGAGCTTGACTGAGGCATTTTTTCTGAGAAGCAAGTGGGAAAAGCAGAGAAGAGGAACAGAGACTGGCTGGGGGTTTGGTACTGCAGATGAGAGGCTGGGTAGAGTGAATAGTGCAAAGAACATTCCTGGCAACCAGAACTGACGACACCTGCGGAAAACTGAGTTTCAGAGGTTCCGCGGCTTGCCAGGAACCCATCACTGACAGCCGAGTTCCAACCAAAGCTGGGTCTCTGGAGAGCGTGCTTCTTACCCTATGGGATCATTTAATCACTCGGGCCTCATTCCTCTGACAGGGAGGAAAATGAGGAGGCTGACTTCTAGGAAAGTCTCCCAAGGAAACAAAATAATTACAATGAAAAATTCCTAATTAGTGAAACACTAGAAACACATATAAATGCTCTGCAGCAGCAGAACACTTAGGTGGATGGGGGAGATGCAAGTGATTAAGTACTAAATAGCTGTGGGCATTATGTATGGGAAGATTGTAGCAAAATGGAAAATGTTCTCATGTTATAATTATAAGAAAAAGGATACAGAACTATTTGCATATTAATGATAATCACCTTATTTAGCACATACCACCCAACCCCATCCTTGACCAGAAAATTATAGTCAGGTAGGTAATAAGCCCGGATCTTTATTATGCTTATTACAAAGCTGAGACTATATGGGTTATTTTTATTTCTCTACAGTTTTAATTTTTTTTTTGTCTTTTTCTTTTTTATCGGTACTGGGTATCGAACTCATGACCACACACTTGCAAGGCAGGCGCTTATGCCGCTGAGCTAAATCCCCAGCCCCTACAGTTTTAATTGTTAAAAATGTGATCTTTATGGGAATTTTATCATTCAAAAGAAAGTGACGGGCTGAGCATGTGACTGAGTGGTAGAGCACTTGCCTAGCATGCTTGAGGCCCTGGGTTTGCTCCCCAGAAAAACAAAACAACTCCCCCGCCCCCAACAAAACAACGACAGGAAATCCACAGCAGTGAAAAAAAGAGACAACACAGTTGGGCTGGATGAGTCTCTCCAGTTCTTCCAGCCTGTGGTCCTCAAGCAAAGGTATGTGTGGTGAAAGAAAAATGAGTCTGCGTTGGCCAAAGAAAGAGGGAGTCTTCTAAAAAGTGGACGAGAGAAATGAAGGTCAGGAGCTGTGGTGGCGAGCTCAGGGCACGTGTGCTGCAGCTGGCTGGCTGTGATCTTTGAAATCTCTGAGAGGCTCACCATCACCGATCTAGGGACCTTGCTATGGTTTCAGATGATTCAGTGTGGCTGTGTGTTTGGAGAGAAGCCGTGGACTCTTGGCTGGTGGTTAACTTATTTATGATGCATAGCCAAAACCCAAACGCTGCCAGAAGTGGCCGGTAAGGGTCCACTGCTCTTTGTCCTCCAAACTTAGCTCTAGGTGGGAAGGGAAGCTCTTGTTGGCTTCACTTTCTGGAGAAATACAGGAACGGTGCAACTGCAACTCTTCCAGGTTTTATTTCCTCTTTTCTGTACAGGAAGGTTTCTTTTCAGTGAAATCCAAATGTGTGTAAATTGTGAGCATCTCTGGAACGTGGCTCTGAGAAGACTGAGCCCTATCTGCTTGGTTCATCCCAGCCTATCTCTTCTGGGTCCTGTGTGTGAGGCTGAAAAGCCTAAAGGGTGTTGGCCTGGGAGCCTGGCCTGGTTCTCCTTTCAACACCAACAACAATCACCTGTGTGTCCTCGGGCAAGTGGCGTCACTTTGCTAGACTCTCGTTTCCTATAAAATGCAGGCGCCAGAGTCAGGTTTTAATAGATTCTTCCAGTTCCCACCTTGCATGTCTGTTCTCATAACACACTTTAAAAGCTTGCCACCGACAGGCCAAATCATTTGGCTTGGTAGGTATTTTAAAGAGCTGTTTCATCACCATGGCTGTCATATAGTTGATTAGCGTGGCTGCTACGTCACTTTTTTCTAATGAGTTACATAAACATGCAATTCTGCTTTACACCAGGAAGTGAACTCTTTATCTTTGAGGGAGGAAATACATTCCAGGGGCAAAGACATGTGACTGGGGAGGCTCCTTGAATAACTCCGTGCCAGTAGATTGAGTATGTGCATTTATGCATGCATGTGCCTGTGTGTGTACACGTATGAGGTGTACATGTGTGTGAACATGTGTGTGTATGTGTGTGCCTGTGGGGGGGATGCATGGGCTTGCCCGTACGTATTATACCCTTGCTGTCTTTTTAAAAGATTTTAACTTCCTTTAATGACGCTGCTAATAACTCATCTGCATAGGTAGGGACTCATACCAGCTATCACATTGGCAGTGCAGTGGGGTTTGGTATATTTCTGGGCACAGATTTATCAGCACAGTGGGCGTTTGCAGTTGGCTTCTACTGCAGGTGCCTCATTAAGCATGCTTGTCCCATCGCACTAAAGGTGTGGTTTTGCTAAAGAAGAAATACTGTACTATTCTGAGTGGATCGAGGGATCTCTGTTCCAAGCAACTCCAGGTAGGAGATTGTGTCTCAGAGAGATGCTAGGAGGCCATCAGGAGAAGGATACTAGAGAATGTCACCCTGCCATGTCTGAGTGGCTGGCAAGGGCAGCCACTTGCTGCAGATAGGTTCCCTGGTGGGTACCACTTTCCTGAAAGGAGCGGGACGTGACCTTGACACTGTGTTTGCAGGAAGCCTGTCATTACTGATTGCAATCCTGACAGAAGGATCAGCCTTCACCCTTCCCTTGCAAAGCTGACAGAGCCAGGGAGGGTCTTGTGAGGAAACAAGATCTGCTGATTTCTTTCGTCTTCCATTCCTGCGTCTTTTCACTCATATTAAAACTCCCTGCCATATGGCCACCCAAAAAAGGCACAGTATCATCATCTTGTACCTTCCAGAGAAGTTACATAACCCAGGGATCACACAGCTGTGGAGTGCAGGAGCCATCCACATCCACATGGGACATTTTTGGCTCACTCTAGTCCAGGGTGGCACAGATCTTTCCAGCACTGATTTTGGACTTGGATTCAGCTTTTGATGGTTATTATAAATGAGGAGGTTTCCCAAGATCCACCCTAAGAGGACTGGTTTTTTCTATTTATAGAGCATCATGTTGCTCCTTCTTGGTGTGATGACTTTGTCCTGAGCACTGGGTGACCCAGGTTCCATTTTAAATTTGCTGATAGTGCACTTGGCTCCTTCCTTCAAAATTCTTTAGGGAGACAGGAAATGTTATTTAGGAAGCATTCTCATTTCTCCTACTAACTCCCTGTGTGACCTTGAGTCTCTTAACCTTGCTGGCCTCAATTGCTTTGTAAAAAGAGGGGTTCCTTTAAAGGCCCTCAAAGTTAAAAAACACTCATTTCCAACAGCACTTCTCAGACCATTAAGGACATGGCCTGCACTTGGGCATCTTGCTAAAATGTGGATTCTGGATCTGTAAGTTGTGGTGTGGCCCACGAGCCTGTGTTTCTAAAAGCTTGGGAGAGGGGCTGCTGCTCCTGGTTTATGGACCAAGCTTTGAGAAATAAGGCTTAGAATGTAAGCTTCAACTTGATCAACCATAATACCAGCCACAAGAATTATGTTTGGAGACTGGGGATATGGCTCAGCAGCACAGTGCCTGCCTGGCGAGTGTGAGGTTGTGAGTTTGATTCCTGTTACAAAAAAAATTATGTTTGCAAAAATATGGCACAGGTAGTATACTTCAAGAATGGCTAAAGAAGAAAGGAGCAGTTATTTCTGGCAGAGGAAATCAGGGATGGCCACATGGAGGAGGTGGCATTTGAGAGCGCATTATCTGGAAATAACTTTTTTGCAACTCTCTTTTCAAAATTCTTCAGGTGCCATCAGTCTGCAGCTGATTGACAGGTGCAGCCCCAGCCATGAGATGCAGGGCAATCTGCTTTATTCAGAGTCTGCTGTTCTGGATGCTAATGTCATATAAAAATGCCTCCACTGAAACATTTAGGAAAACCTTTAACTAGGAGTGATGGTGCACACCTGTAATCCCAGCACTCCAGAGGCTGAGGCAGGAGGATTGTCAAGAATGCAAGGCCAGCCTGGGCTACATAGTGAGACCGTCTGAAAAAAACAAAACATGAAAACCAAAAA